TGCACAGCCCTGAGCCAAACCCCGGGCTTGATGCTCCCTCCACTTCTGCCTGTGCTGACAGAGTACACCTCTGAAACAGAAGAATTCCAGCTGCAAGAACATCCCAGTTGGCTCAAACAGCTGCTCACCAAAAGGAAAGGTGGTGATGTGACCAGAATTATTTAGCACAGTCCCAAGGGAAAAGCTCCTGAGATTTGAATCAAACAAACAAAACCCAAAAACAAGCAAACAAACAAACAAAAACCCCACAAGCTGAGGGGAAAAAGAAAGCACTTAAAGCACTTACCACACAGCATGTTGGACACTGAGTTTTGTAGGACAAAAACTTGCGGATACAAAGGGAACAATCTGGAAAAGGGAAATGCATCATTTTGAAGAAGGCATTCTTCCAAAGGTAGTTCCAAGCCCTTACTTGCGTATTTTCTTACTGTACAATATGTGCAAGCCATTCCACAGCACAGCAATGCCGAAAACATACCATCTTTCCATGGAATTGAGATAATCATTGTAGCAAAACAAACCCCACATATTTTATGCAAACGTATCTCAGTACCCAATGTCAGTCCCTCTGTCAAAAGATGATGTTCATTTCCGTTTGTTTCCCAGTACAAGAAACCTCAGTCAGCCACCACCGCTAAAGCCACGCTTGCACTGCTCACTCCCTCCCACACTGGGTTTTTGACTAATGTTGGATCCCTTGCATCTTCCTGCACAGCCCCAGACATCCTGTGTCTCCTTCCCAGGCTCTTCTGCCCCTTTCCAAAACCATACCAACTTGTCAGTGAAGGAAAAGGCTAAAAGGAATGGAAGCCAGCACTGGAAGACTGAGAGACAGCTTGATGTTTCCCAGGGAAAGCAAAGCATGTCACCATCATCACAGGATGGTTCAACAGCCCCTGCGGTGAAACATGCCATAACCTTCATTTTGTCACAGTAAATTTCTGAATTTGTTCTGCTTTGTCAATTTATCTATGAGCTTTCAGAGCCACTTAAAGATATAAAAAGTCTCATCACTCTCCAGTACAACAGACATTCACGGGTCAGAGTCTCAGCACTTAACACACTCAGCAGCAGCTCCCAAAGCAGATTTATATTTCATAGACCCTCTGGGAATGAGTCTGAAAAGCAGCAGGAGCATCAATTAATCACAGACTGGTTTGGATTGGGAAGCCCCATCCAACCTGGCTTTAATGCACCAATTAACACTTAAACCCACAAACCCAGCTAAATACTCAAAAGTTACTATATATACTAAGAAGTTATAAGGGGTGGGAAATCCATACAAAAATAAATTAACTTTAACTGTATGAATATGAATGAAGTGGCAGATCCAGCCTGCTGACATCTGACACACCCACACCAGCCTGCAGACAAAGCTCATCCTCCCATACCAGGGTGTAAGAAATCCCAGGGCCACAATTCCCTCTATCCAGGCTAGAGAAGACACTCTCCTTAGGATGCCTCTATTATGTGAAAAAAATATGGATGGCACATCTATTCTGTCAGTAATGACACAGTCCAAACCACCAGGACAGTTAAACAACTACTGTCACATGAGCTACTGAATGCTCCCAGGCACCCAAGGAGCAGAGGAGGAATTTTAAGTGGCTACAGGTGCAAACACATTACAGAGATGTCTAGAAACCCTGGAACAGATCATTAAGAAAATGAGAGTCAGCAGAAAGGTTTGCAAGCAGACATACTTCATTTTCATCCATTCACAATTACTCATTAAAGCAGAGGGCTTTTGGCTCCAGTTGTCCAACCTCAGTTGACTCAAGAGATTACAGAGACAAGCAAGTGGAAAATACTTCAAGAAATCTTGAGCTATTGTAGAAAACTTGGACCTTCTGTGATTTGCATGGGGAAATAAATTGTGTAATCTGTTTAAAAAAGTGCAGACAGATTCTTTCCAAAGTTAAGGGCCTCTGAACCCCACTGTGTCACCAGTGAGTAGAGAATTTCCAGTGTTCCCCACCACAAGAATATTGGTTTCAATGGTGAGAGTTTTGCCAAGCTAAACTAAACTTCACTGCCAAACTACAATGAGCCCCTTCATGGAAGGAAGGGGAAGTGCTACAGTTTCTGGAGCAAACAATTACCAGCTTTTATTCTGACATGAGAAAAGCTAACATACTCCCCACTAATCTGGCTTTCAGCAAACTGCTTGGGTCCAGGTTCCAACAGATATCAGTCCGAGGCAGGCGGAGCAGCACGGAAAATTTTAGCTCATAATGCTCTCCACATACAACTTTGTTCCACCCTCAAGATGTTATGGAAGATATTTAAATGGAGACTTGTAGAAATAGGTGGTGTTTAAGTGCACTGATCCAGGTGCCACGTGTTTATGCTGCAGCAGGAACTGCACGACGGAAGGTTTTGGCTGCTTCCACCTCACAGACCTTCTCACAGCTTCCATCCCAAGGAGAACCACGGAATCCTGGAATAGTAGTTTGGGTTGGAAGGAACCTTAAAGCCCATCCAGTGCCACCCCTGCCATGGGCAGGGACACCTTCCACCAGCCCAGGGTGCTCTAAGCCCCGTCCAACCTGGCCTTGGACACTCCCAGGGATGGGGCAGCCACAGCTTCTCTGGGTACCCTGTGCCAGGGCCTGCCCACCCTCCCAGGGAAGAATTTCTTCCTAATATCCTGTTTAACCCTACTCTCTGGCAGTTTGAAGCCATTCCCCCTTGTCCTGTCACTCCAGGCCCTTGTCAACAGTCTCTCTCCATCCTTCCTCTAGGCTCCCTTCAGGTCCTGGAACCTTCTCTTCTCCAGCTGAACAATCCCAGTTCTTTCAGCCTTTCCTTACACTTCACACTCAGGAAGTTCACACAAGGCAGTGGGACTGGACAAGTCCCACCCGAGCAACAACCCCTGGCAGCAGACTCACAGTTGTGGGAGCACTGCGGGATGACCACGGCGATGCTGAAGTAGTCGAAGCAAATCCCACAGCGCAGCAAGTTATCCACGTCCTGCAGGGAGAGCGGGGTGAGCCACGGGCACAGTGGACACACGGCACACAGGGGAGCGGTACCGAGCGGGGTGCCCGGGCACGGGGGAGCGGTACCGAGCGGGGTGCCCGGGCACGGGGGAGCGGTACCGAGCGGGGTGTCCGGGCACGGGGGACACACGGTACACAGGGGAGCGGTACCGAGCGGGGTGCCCGGGCACGGGGGCTTCGCTGTGCCAAGGGCCGTTCAACGCCCGCGGGCTCGTGGGGTGCGGGTGGGCCCACCGGCAGGGCCAGGCTGTGCTGCCACGGCCGGCCCGCCCCCCTGCCCGCTCCCAGGGCCAAGGAGCCGCTCCTGGGCCGACCCGCTGGCCCCCGCCCGCCGTCCTGCCATCCCCGTGTCCTGCCATCCCCGTGTCCCGCCATCCCGTGTCCCGCCATCCCCGTGTCCGTGTCCCACCATCCCCGTGTCCCGCCATCCCGTGTCCGTGTCCCGCCATCCCCGTGTCCCCCGCACGCACCTTCAGCGGGGCCAGGCTCGGCGGCCAGGGCGGCTCGGGCAGCGGCAGCGCCAGGGCCATGGCGGCGCGGCGCGGCCCGGCCCGGTCCTGCAGGGCCCCGCACGGCCCCAGACAGTCCCGCAGGGCCCCGCACGGCCCCAGACAGTCCCGCACGGCCCGGCCCGAGCCCGCCCGGCCCCGCGCGCTCAGCCCCGCGCGCGCCTCCACCCGCACTTCCGGCGGCGCTTCCGGGAGGAGCTGCCGGGAGCGGGAGCGGGCCCTGCCCGTGTGCGATATCCCCGTGTGCGATATTCCCCCTGTTCCCCTGTGCGATATTCCCTGTTCCCGTGTGCGATATCCCCGTGTGCGATATTCCCCCTGTTCCCCTGTGCGATATTCCCTCCATTCCCCTGTGCGATATTCCCCCTGTTCCCCTGTGCGATATCCGCGTGTGCGATATTCCCTGTTCCCGTGTGCGATATCCCCCGTTCCCGTGTGCGATATCCTCTGTTCCCAGGCGCGCCTGGGGCTGGAGCTGTGCCAGGGCAGGCTCAGGTTGGATCTCAGGGCAAGGTTCTTCCCCCAGAGGGTGGTTGGCACTGAACAGGCTCCCCAGGGCAGTGGGCACAGCCCCAAGGCTGCCAGAGCTGCAGGAGGGTTCGGACAACGCTCTAAGGGACAGGGGGGGATTGTCAGGGTATCCTGTGGAGGATGATCCTTGTGAATCCCTTCCAGCTGAGGATATTCCATCATTCTGTCGTTCCAACTAAGGTGACTTTTCATTGCTGAATGAATCACCCATCAGGCATTTCCACCCCTTTTCTCCCCTGTGTGCCTCCCACCCCTGGAAGAGCTGAAATAACAGCACTGGTCTCTGGGTATTCCACGTGTCTGTGGAACTCCCATGAACATCTGATGGATGGAATAGGATTCTCACAACTCCTGTGCTCAGCTGATGGATTCTCAGCTGCTGTGATCAGTTGTTTACTCAGGGGACAAATGAGATGTGTATCTGAGTGCTCCCATAAGATGGGCCTGAGAGTCTTCATCCGTATCCCCCAGGAGATGCTAAATTAAAACACATCTAAGACACCATGTGGGTGAGATTTGGAAATACACTCACCCACCTCACTCCCTCCTCAGTCACCAGGCAGGTAGTGATGGGGCTGAGTGCTGCCATGGGCTGCCAGGAGGTCTCATAATTGCTGTGGAGTTCAGGGAAATTACCACACTGCCCAGGTCACGAAGGATAAAACTGCAAAGCAAACTGCCCAAGTCACATAGGATGAAATTGCAAAGCAAACTGCACTGTCTGGGTGCAGTTCTGATTTCTGAGGGCAGGTGCTGACCCAGGCTGTGCCCATCACACCTGAGGCTCGCTGACCCCGCTGCTCTGGCAGGTACTCTGGCACACTCTACAACTCTACACACACTTACACTATTCCTGTTCATTAAATTTGTTGTAGCAGAGGTTTTTACGCACACACAAAGCACATTTACCCATTTTTTATAATAGTCTACGGAATAGTAACACCTCCCTTCCTTAGTTTCAGAGGTCTGAAACTATTTTGCAGCAGCTGGTGACTCAGATGTGCTGTTTTCCAGAAACTGAAACTGTGTGTATGTGTGCTTGGTTTTTCCTATGAGTTTGTTTGTAGTAGTGTAATTTTGGTGCTCTTGCTCCTGATTCTGTGCTAGTCTGATTCTTGAACTGGATAAAATCAAGCCAAGCTCCCTGAACTGGCACTCAGTGGTTATATATACATATATAGCTATATAAAAGGTTTCTGTGACCCACACAATGGGGAAGGTCAGAGGAAATTATCACAATGGTCTGTGCTGGCCTTGAGCACTATGAACCTCTGAATTTATATATCTGAATGGCTCTGATTGCTGCCTGCTCCTTGCCAAAAGTGCTGGAATTTACAGAATAGTGTCACTTAAGGGCCCGTTCTTTTCACCTTAAGGAATCCAAATCTTTTCTCTGTGAGCTGTGACAAGTGAATGTATCAACCTCTTGGAATTTTCTGTTCTTTCCCTTCCCTCACACACGTGGCCACTTTCAGTCCAGGTTCACACATATGTATCAGACATGAGCTTCTTGGGTGGGAATTAACTCACCCCCTCCCCAGGAATGGGCACAGGGATGCAGGTTCATTCATGCAGCAACAGGTTTATTTTCCATTTTGGACTGATGAAGAGCAAAGAGCAGGGAGTTTACAGCCCAGCACCATCCATACAGACCACTAGTGAATAAAAATGCAATTTAAATTATTTCTACTTTAAAAGCACCATATATATATATATATAAACCCCAACTTGGAACACCTGTGCTTTCACCTGAAGCCTGTACAATGCTGCAGCTGGAGAGCATCCACCCCTTAAGGCCATGTGGTCAGATGATGCCCCCAGCCTGTGGTGCAGAGCCTGGTTCTCTGTGGGCATTTTGCCATTGGGATGAAGTCACAGGAGAGGCACTGGGAAGCCTCTCACAGCCTTCAGCCCTGCTGCACTGCCCAGAACTTGGCCAGGCAAAGCACTGCTCAGCTGGAGCCTGGCTGAGCACGAGGGGCCCAGGGAGCAGATCCAACCCACAGAGCCCTGCCCAGTGAGGACACTTGTCCCACTGCAGGAATGCTTCCCACTGTTTTATTGGCACTTTGGGCTTTGGTGGAGCAATACTAAACTGGTTTATTTTGCTGAACGACCAAGTTACAACTTGTTATTATACACAGAACACCAAACATGTCCCCTCCTCCCAAGCCCCTGAAACGCTCATTTCAGTTAAAATACCAGTAAGTCCCAACTGCATTTCCATAAGCTTGTTGTCCTATTCTGTTAGCAGAGAAATGTGTGGAAAAGCTTCATAGAAGGTGTAGTAGCCTGACACAAAGAGAATCTTAAAAAGCAACTTATTTTCATATGTTCTATTGAGACAAAGAAAATATTTACGTGAAGTTTTACATAATTCCCAGCCGGTTGTGCACAACTTAATAATGTAAAGAGTGTTTATTCCCCCATGGTGCCCAGTGCCATGTGCAGAACTGTTGTTGTTCTCTGTGCTCCAGCAGACAAATGACTCCTCCTCAGCTGCCCTTCATCCACTGATCTTAAAACTAAAAAATAACACTCACCTAGGTCTGCCTCACATGTCTGTGTGTCCCTGGACATTCTTCGTTATATATAGATACACAAACACACCACAGAAAGAAGCCTCTGGGACACCAGCGTGTGGATTGGATGAAAATCTGCAGAAGAACATACTGTACTTCAAAAAAAAAAATTTAAACCCCAAACCAGAGAACATTCTGAGTTAATTGTTTCTAAGTATTTTCAGAGATTCCTTAATATTTAAAGCAGTGGAAAGTTTCTCATCATGTCATTCCCAACTGGAGAAGCGAAGAGCCTGAAACCATGGTAAGATTGCCCAGAAACATTTAACATTGACCTTGCTCTGCCCTTGTGTTAAAGTTGGCAGCCATTTATTGATTTCTACAGGACTAAATTTAGTCTGATGTTGAGACTTTTAGAACAAAAAGATCCCATGTTGTCGTGGTTTAACCCCAACCAGCAGCCACTCGCTCACTCCCCCACCAGTGGGATCAGAAAGGGAATCAGAAGGGTAAAAGTGAGAAAACTCATGTGTAGATATAAAGACAGGTCAGTAGGTGAAGCAGAAGCCACATACACAAGCAAAGCAAAGGAATTCATTCCCTGCTTCCCAGGGGCAGCAGGTGTTCAGCCAT